TCAACAAAAATAACTCCACTTCCATATGGGTGAAAAGACTTGGTCTTATTGCAACTTGGTTCAGTCATCTTCTACACAAAACTACCAACCACAAGAGTAGACTATTCCTCTCCGATCGATCCCTGTAAGACCTTGTGCTTCTCTCTAATCACGATAGACTCTCTTTAAACCTAGCATAGTTCCTAGCTCATAGGAGATATTCAATAAATGTTCACAGCTGAATTGTGCAATTCATACTTCTGAAGTTACTTACTACCTTAAGTAATAATAATCAATCTCTCTATGTCTCTGTGCTCTCTCTCTCTCTGCCTCTGTATATCTTTGTCTGTGCCTTTCTCTCTGGTCTCTTTCTGTCTCTTTCTCTCTGTTTCTCTCTCTGTTTCTCTCTCTGTGTCTCTCTCTGTCTCTGTTTCTCTCTCTCTGTCTCTCTCTCTCTGTCTCTCTCTGTCTCTCTCTTTCTCTCTCTCTCTCTCTGTCTCTCTCTCTCTCTGTCTCTCTCTCTCTCTCTCTCTCTCTGTCTCTCTCTCTCTCTGTCTCTCTCTCTCTCTCTCTCTCTCTCTCTCTCTCTCTCTCTGTCTCAGATGGTGTTTGGTTTGTTGCCCAGGCTACTCTTAAACTCAAGCAATCCTCCTGCCTCAGCCTCTCAAATAGTTGAAACTACAGGTATGTGCCACCATGTCCAGCTTTAACCTTCAATTTCTAGATAACTTATATTTTGCTAAGCATTTCTTATACACTATTTTCTTTAATCTAGTGTTTTATAATATGAATTCTTCAGGCCAAGAACAACAATATTGGAAATTTGTTAGAAACATTAATTCAAGACCCCACCCCACAATAAATGACTCAGAAACTCTGGGTTGAGTTTCTACAATCTGTGTAAACTGTTTACTAAAAGCAAACAGAGTGCTACTAAATCACCACACAGGACTCAAATGTGCAATCTTCCTGCCTCAGCCTCCCGAAGTGTTAGGACTACATGCATGTACCACTGTACCCAGCTTACAATTATGTTTAATCAAGCCCTCCAAATATTCTCATGACTGCTAAGATTTTAGACAAATTACTCTAAAGAACATAACTTTTGCTCCCTGAAAAGAACAGTATTATAAAAAATAAATCAGTGTGAAAATCAGAATGTATCTTCTAAAAGAATCAGAAAGATTCCTGGATGTCTTCTAGCTTTTGTCTGCAGGCACTTTGAATTCAAACATGAAGAAAGAAACATATTATCTCACTTTCGCTGCTCTTTGCTTTAGTTGGACCATGCCAGGTAAAGTGGCTGAACGCAAGCTTGGAGCATCATTATTCAATAACTTCTTTTGCTCATTAGAGTCTCTAAAATACATCGCAACTCTATTGTCCACATAAAGTGTTGCTATTCTAGTGCATAAATGCTGCCGTGACACAATTACATGCTTGGCACATTGTACAGATTCTAAATTTACTATACTGCTCAGTAGCAATGAAGCAACTAATACTTCCGATCCTGAAGCAGTGTTCCAGAACAGAAGACTTAAGACATCATAGCATTCTATTTCCCTAATGCTGATTACAAGCCTGTATTGTTTCGTTTTCCTTCCAATGTTAAATGAGGTTTTCAAAGATCACACTGTCAGCTTTGTATTATTTATTCTAAGCACACCTCTTTGAAAGAAGATGGTGTATTTGTTGAAGAACTGCGGTCAGCTATGTATATCAAGCCAAGGTAAAACTTTTTAGCTTGAAGCAAAAATCATTTGTTTCGCTCATAAATCAGCAATCTGAGCAGTGTTCAAGGACAACAGTGAATCTCTGCTCCATGTGAGAACAGCTGGACTGCAGCAGGAGAGACCACGTCCCAGAGGTCTGGTCCCAAGGTAGGTAAAATGGTTGACCTGAACTAGAAGTTCAGCAGGGCCCTTGGCTACTGTCACACAGTGTCTCCACAGGACAACCTGGCCTTCCACATGGCACGGAGTTCTAGAGCAAATGCCCCAGGAGTCACAAAGCAGAAGCTTCCAGGACCCCAAAGGCTTGCCCAGAAAACCAACACAGCCTCAGTCTCACTATATACTTCACTTTGCTTATATACTCTGGGTCAAAGCGGCCACAGAACTTGCCTGGATTCAAGAAAAGAAACACAGAACCCGATCTCTTACTGGGAAGAATCTCAAAGAGCTTATAGTCTTCTTTACTTTGTCTCAAAGTGTCAAAATTCACTTAAATAGGGTATAATTTTTGAGCTTATGGTTTTCGAGCCTTCTCTGAGTATGTTTTTCTTTTAGGCTCTTTGTAAAGGTGTTCTTATTTGAGAATTTAATCAGTGAAATAAAAAGTTTCACGACTAAATTTTAATATATTTAAGAATTTTAGGGCTGGGGATATAGCTCAGTGGCACAGCACTTACCTGGCAAACACAAGCTCCTGAGTTCAATTTCCAGTACCAAAGAAAAAAAGAATTTTAAAAAACAGCCAGGCATGGTGACACATGCCTGCAACACCTGCACTCTGGGTTGCTGAGGCAGGGGAACATGGTTCAAGTCCAGCATGGGTAACTTACTGGCTTACTGAAAGCCCTTCTCAAAAATTGGTTTTAAAAATTGCAAAGGCTGGGGATGTAGTTAGCGCAAAGACTCTGGGCTCAATCCTCTGTACTGAAAAAGTAAAATAAAATAAGATAAAAAATATATACTGAAGAAAGCAAATACCTGCACCACTTACTAAAATGAGGTTTGTAACTGAACAAATAATAATCAAAAAATCACTGTGGGATATTTGGCAAACCCCATTTGGATAAAACCAGATAAATATAGTGTATCATGGAGTCAAACGAATAGAATTCGCACCATTCAGTTATCACAGTTAAACTGCTTGGTTATATAAATACAGCTTGCTTCAGCTCAAAATAAAGAAGACAGTGTATGCAATTATTATCATAGAAATTCATAAATCCCTGTATTTACTCAATCATGGATGCATAATTTGTTTTGTTTAGCTTTTTATTATCCAGAAAAATGTTCCTCACTGCTCTACACAGCCTTTGGATCTCAAATTCAGGGAAATATTTTAGACAAACTTTAAGTATTATTAAATAGGCCAGCAAGAACAGGATAATAAAAAAAAAAGCCATGTAAGGCATCATCACACCCTAATTTTGAAAAGATAAAAACAACACAGTAGTTTAATATTACCATAAGCATCTTAAGGGAAAAATATATCTTCTTCTATTGCCATGGACTTGCATCTAAACATGTAGATCAGTCAGGAGAAACATCCTCATCTTAGAGGTAAAAGTTTACAGCCACAGCAATAACGTACGTTTCCTGGTCGTTATGTATTGGTTTTCACATTCATTCAGCATGAGCTCTTTCAATTCCACAAATCCAGAGTCTAAAGAAACTAAGTAATTTCAAGGAGTAACGAATGAAAAAACATGACTGACACATCTCTAATCTCACCAAGTGACATTTGAGAGCGGTGCCTTATTTTAATGATTATTTTGCTGAATAGTAGTTAATCTGGAGTAGCAAAATCTGCTGGAATCCCTGCACAAACGCCTCAAATGCGGACTGCTGCTTCCCTCTTCTGGCCAAAGGAGGGGAGAAGTTCGGTTTTCACTGCTGAGCAGGATTATCTTCATCGCGAGCCCTGAAATCAGGTCCTCAGCAACCAGTATTTACCTGGTTCTCTCAGCAAAGGACAATGCAAGGTAATTCAGACGGCACAGATTAAAATATCAAGGGACACTTTTGTGAGAGAATCTACTGAGCTTTTCACTGGAAGAATCTCTGAAGCGTGTACGTGACTTAAATCAGTGTTTGCCAACCAGCCTTCAGAGCAGGCACCAGGGCTCACGGCTCCGAGGTCACTGGGGGTTAATATATTTTGATTGTCAACTAAAATTATTCATAGACAGTGGAATGACTATGGGTGGTTCTCACACAGAAGAATGAGAAATTACACTGCTAAAAACTCCAGAGATTTCCACCTCAGGTTCTAGAATAAAAAGCAATTTCTCTTCGCGATCTTGCTAAGCCATGCAAGTCTTATGAAGGGCAACGACGAGATTAAAGCATCAAATGCAGACACACAAAAATATTTCCTTTAATTGGAATCATTTAAATCTCCCAATAGCTCTTTCTATTTTGGGCCACCCCTCCTGTAAAAAAAAAAACCCAAAAATTATATTACTGAAAATGTCAAGAGAAAATAAACTCTTAGTAAAAGGCTTTCATCAAATGTCCTTTGCCTAATTTATATAATTATCAATCTATATGCATAACAGCCATCTTTATAGACAAATACCACTCCATATTTCATTCAAAGGAATGAAGCCTAGAATAATAAATTCTATTAACTTTCTGGACACATGTGCTTTGAAATATTGACATGAAAAGAGCTACCTTTACTGATTTTAGACTATCTGAAAAAAAACTGCCCATATTTCACATTCATTCTTCAAAAATTAAATTTAAAATTCTCAAAATAAGCAAGTGAATGATTACAAAATCAGTAAAATTAACGTGCACTGATGTTCAAGGAATAATAATAAGGAACATGTGCCTACAAGTTCACACAGAACCTTACACACTCCTCATAATATGCAACTGATCATTTCTCTGGAGACTCAGATAATTAGTACCAAAGCAAACTGCCACTGGAAAGAAAAGAGATTTCCTGGAAGGAAGAAAAAGGCAACCTTTCCTTTTTCTTTATTGCACAAAATGCAAGTAACAGAAGTCATCATCATCACTATGCAAATCCATGGTGACTTGGAGGTGAGTGACACTCCCAGTTTTCTTTTTTTAATTCTTTTTTTAATTTTTTGGGAGACAAGGTCTCACTAAGTAGCTCAGGCTGGCCTTGAACTTGTGGCAATCCTCCTGCCTCAGCCTCCTAGGTGCTGTGACTAAAGGCACATGCCACCATACCTGGCTCTTCCAAAGTTTTAGAATGCACAGCTCACACAACTGCATGTGGACGCCCTATGACAACTACCACCAAGTGACAGTTGGAAACGCAGATATAAACATCTGAAACATTCAAGAATCTGTAAATTTGAAACAAGAGAGTTTTCCTGAACACCGCTGTGGATATCCCACCCCAGAAGGAAATATGAGGTGTGTTGACTTCTTATTTTCAACCTGATGAAAGACACATAAGCGGAGCCATGAGGAGATTGGGGTTCACAGTGGGCTAGTGCTGACTCAAGTCTGAGAAACAAAGCGTGAGAGTCAAGGATGTTACCATTGTGTGTAAATACCTCATTCTCTTTATCTAGTCATCTGTTGATGGACCTGTAGGTCACTTCCAAGATTTAGCTATTGTGAGTTGCATTGCTGGAACCACAGGTGCACATCCATGCAATGGGGTACTACTTACCATTAAGAAGGATAAACTTGAGTAATTTGTGGAAAAAATGGGTGCACCCTGAAATCATATTGAGTAAAATAAGACACAAAAGCTTAAATTTTTTTTTATTTTTTATTTTAGTATAGTACATATAGATATTAATAAAGAAAATAGAATTCACCATACACAAGCTTAAATATTGCAAGATGTTATGGCTTGTGCTGAGCTGTCCCCTCAAAGCCTCATAGGGTCATAGATCTATGTTTTCAGAGGTGGCTGGATATAGAGTACGTGATTGGTTCATGGTGCAATGCTAGGATTAGGAGTGCTAGGATTTAGGATGTGTGATTACTGAATCAGTCCACTGATTGATTTGGCTCCCACCCTAATCCTGGTAGCCTATCAGAATATAAAGAGGCAGAAAGAAGCTATGAAAATCCCTTGGACTTGTTGCTTGATGACTTCTGCCTACCCTGCTGGGCCATGGGCTGTTTCTCCTCTGCAATGCCCCTCTCCCATGCCACCCTGCCTTGGAGTCACCTGACTATGGACTGAAACGTCTACAAACTGTAAGCCAAAATAAACCTTTCCTCCTTTAACTTTGGGTTGTCTCAGCAATGAAAAAAGTAACTAAGACACAAGTTTCTCTTATAAGAGAAACCCAAAATACAAATAAAGAGAAAAATAAAAGACAGGTAATAGTAAACAAGGAAATACATCTTTTGCAAAAGGGAAAGAGACCAAGAGATTGAGGAAGCAGGGAGGGAAGAAAGAGAAAGAAGGATGAAAAAAGAACTAAGATGTGTAATTTACATGTACCAACTCCCCACAAGGTAGGTATTATCATAGACTGCAAACATGTAACACAAAATTAAAATTAAAGAAAAGGACCTGTTACAGACCCTCCACAGTGCACCAAAGAAACATTGTTTTGTAGGGAATAAATGCTCTGGTCTTCCAGAATGCAACTTCACTCCAGAATGAAGTCTTTCCCATGGATCACGGGAGGTTGAAGAAACAGCCTATGGGAACGTCTCAGATGTTGAGCCCTAGACTGACCCTCCTGGAAGGGAGAGAGAAGGAACCTGGGTCTGATCTACCAAAATGGACTGCCTTAGTTTTGCCTAAGAAACCTAGATGGAAGGTAACCAGTCCAGGGACCACTAAATCAGAAGGTGGCTTTGTGCAGAATAGTGGCCTTACGGGGAAATGGAGAAGCCAAGCTGACATGGAGGGACCTCCTTGCACAAAACTCATAAAAAAGAACCACTTGGTTTAGACCTCTGGAAACCCTATGCTGGTTTCCCTAAAGGAAAGGGAGGGAGAAGCTTAAATGAAGTTGGACATGGATTCATTTTTTTAAAATGTGTTATAATGAATGAACATAAGCTAAAGGAGTCATTACTGGACTCAAAGTATGGTCCAGGGTCCAGCAGCTTTAGCGTCAAGGTGGGACCTCCTTAGAAATGTGGAAAACTCCAGACTCACTACATCATGTTCTGTGTGCACGTGGAAGCTGATGAAGGGCTGCCGCACAAATGAATTTTAAAGTGCCTATGAGCTACCTGTCCCCTGGAAGTTTAACACCCTGTAACTTCTACCGTGTTCTCATCTTGCTCAGGTCTCACCACTCTCCATTAATCATGGTAATATCAATTTGAATGGATTAAGAACCGCCTAGCAGATCAGTAAAGCACAGTTCTGGGTGCGTCTGCAGATGACTGACATGTAGCCTTGCAAATTGAAGACCCACCTGGATGTGCGTAGGACCAACCAATAGGCTTGTAGCCCGATGAAATGTGAAGGGAAAGAATAAGTACATTTGTACTTTTCTGTTTCTTCAGCCTTCCTATGCAGACTCTCAGACCAGAGACTCGACAGTGACCTTCCAGACTTCACCTGGTGATGTCCCCTCCTTGGTCCCTCTTGTTCTGAGCTCCCATCTTCTTGGGCTGAGCAGCTTCTGGATCCTCCAGCTCTCCAGCACCAAGATGACCTTTGTGGATCCTTCTGTCTCTGATTCCTCTGGTGACCACTGTGGACTTTCCTTCTGATCCTGTAAGCTTGCCTCGTAAATCCCTTTACATAATTATGCATACATTTTCTATGGATTCTATTTCTCTATTCTATTTCTTCTCCCTTTTCCTGCTCCTTCATCTCCTTGCTTTCAGAAATGAACAGACCCCACTCTCCAAGAAGGCCCAGGGAGTTCTTCACCACTTACTTTCTTCCTGCATGGAATGATGTTACAAAATCTGGAACTTCAGCAATTAACCTCTAACTGTAAGGATGAAAGTCGTTGTATAAAGAATGGTAGTGTAGACACAGACTGAACTCAATTGCTTAACTGTTGGGCTCCTACATGAGGTCTGAACTGTCTTCCTGTGGACTTCTTGCTATGCAAATGAACTAGCAAATAAATATATTTGTGTGAGCCCCTTTTAATCTGGCATTCTGTTATTTTCAGTTATTTAAATAGAAAATTCTAAGTAGTTCCCAAATTAGCTGAATCCAAGAGTTAAAACAATCTTGTTCCACTGGATTAAGAGAGAACAATTTGTGTTTATAATTTTGAAGTAGACTGAAGATGTAGATAACTTTTTCTAGAAGATTCTCAATAGAGGAGAGAAGGACAGCAGTAGATGTCGGATAAAGAAATGATTTTTCTTTAACAGATGGAAGAGATATGAGATCTAAAATAGCCTGAAATAAAAGAGTTAATAAAAGAGTTGGGGATGTACCTCAATGATACAGTGCCTGCCTAGCATATACAAGACCCTAGGCTCCAACCCCAACAATGATAAAGAAAAAAATTTAAAAAGAAATTTCAACTCAGTCTATCACAAAGAGTCAATAAAAAAAGAAGAGTAAGGAATGAAACAATATGTTTAGTCTCTGCAGAAAATTTTTAAGAAATTAGAGTCATACCTTTTCCATGAATAAAGGAGAGCGTCTGGGATATAATTAAGTTTGTGGTTAAAAGTGGAAACTTGAAATGGATGCATTCTATTTTTCCACTGGGATAAAAGTCAAGATTGGCTTCTGAGAATCAATTAAAGAAGGTGGTAATATCAAAGATTGGAGACAATAAGACTATTTCAGATAATAACTATTCAAATGGGAGACAGGGAGCTAAGGAATTGCTGGGCAGATGCACCTTCACTGAAATACAAGTCCATAGGTCACCAACTGGAGGGTTGAAAGGATGGGAGATTGTCAGAGGATGGGATCTGGGTATTTGAATTCTGAAGGTGAAAGAGTAATGGTATTGAGAAGCCAATGCAAAATACATACAGACACTGGATTAACTTCCAAGGCTATCTGGACCTTGAATGAAAAGGAAGTCTGTAAGGAAGACAGCAATGTCAGCAAAGTGTTGGAGGTAGTGCTCATGAAATGATTCAGGTTACAAGAAACAAAAAGAATTATGGAACTCGGGTGTGCTGGCCAACTTCAGTTGTAGTCTGATTCTTTTAGTTTTAGCTTTGCTTGGTGGCCTATGCTTTTGGTGTGATTTCCAAAGTACTGTATGGTTGCCAAAGCCAAAGTCAAGGAGCTTTTTCCCTATGCTCTCTTCTAGGAAATGTAGGGTTCCAGGTCTTTCTTCTACGTCGCTTTCCATTTTGAATCGATTTGTATTTATGGTATAGGTTAAGGGGCCAGTTTCCAGTTTTCTCTACATCATTTACTAAAGAGATTATGCTTTCCCATTTGTGGCCGTTTGGTGTGTTCGTTGAAAATTAATTGACTGTGTACATTTGCAGTTTTATCTGGGCTTTCATTTCTGTTCTGCCAGTCTGTTTCTGTTTTAATGGCTTCATGACACCACTTTGATTATTACAGATTTACGGTATAATTTTTAAATCAAGAAATGTGATGCTGCTACCTTTGTGTTTCTTCCTCAGCGTTGCTTTGGCTCCAAATGAATTGTTAGATTATTTTGTCTGTTTCTATGAAAAAGTCCATTAGAATTTTGGTACCAACTGCATTAAATGTATGTATTTCTTTGGATAGTATGGATATCTAGAGAATATTAATTCTCCTAATTTATGAACATTGGATATCTGTTCATTTATTTTTGTCTCCTTCAATTTCTCTTATCAACATTTGATAGTTTTTAATTGCAGAGTTTTTTTACATCCTTGGTTAAATTTATTATTTTTATGCTACCATAAGTGGGATGTTTCTTGGTTTTTCCTAACTAGGTCATCATTTGTGTACAAAATGATATGTTAGATTTGTATCCTGCAATCTTATTGAATTCATTTATTAGTTCTAACACTCTGTGTGTGTGTGTGTGTGTGTGTGTGTAACAGTATTTTCTACTTATACAATCATGCGATCTGGAAGTAAAGAAAAATTTACTTCTTCCTTTCCAATTTAGATGTCTTTTATTTATTTTTCTTATCTTATTTCTCTTGCTAGTACTTCCAGTACTGTGTTGAATAGAAGCATTAAGAGTGGACAATCTTACCTCAGAAGAGCTCAGTGGAAAAGTGTTCAATTTTCCCTCATTGATTATGTTAGCTATGAGTTTTCTAAAAATGGCTTTTATTGTATTGAAAAAAATTTCTCTATATATTTAAACTGCCAAAGTTTTTTGAGAAAGGATGGTAAACTTCATCAAATGCTTGTTCTGTGTCAGCTGAGATGATCATGTGGTTTTTATCTTTCACTCTATTAACATGATTAATTTGCATATGTTAAAATAGTTTTGTATTCCAAGGTCAAATCTCACTTGGTCACAATGTATATTTTTGATATGTTGTTGATTCAGTTTATTTTTGCACCAATGTGTATCAGAGATACTGGCTTGTGGTTTTCATCATATCTGTCTGATTTTAGGTACCAATGTAATGGCCTTCTAAATGTAATTGGAAGTTTTCTCTCTGGCTATGTATTTCAAAAAAGTTTCAGAGGTATTAGTAATACTTCTATGAATGTGTGGTATTATTCAGTCCTGACACAAGCTGGCCTTTTCTTTGTTGGAAAGTTTTTAGCTATTTCTTCAATCTCTTTATTATTTGTCTGATCAAGCTTCCGATTTCTTCTTGATTCAATCTTGGTAAGTTATATCTTTTAGAAATTTATCTGTTGTTTCTAATTTACCCAATTGGTGGCATATAATTGTTCATAGACTCTGTTATGATCCTTTTTATTTTTTAGGCACCTATTGTAATGTCTCCACTTTCAAGTCTGATTTTATTTATTAGAAGCCTCTCTGCTGTTTAGATAGTGTAAGTAGAGGTTTTCAGATTTTGTTCATTGTTTTCAAAAAACCAACTCTTGGTCCTATTGATTTTTTTCCTATGGTTTTTCTGTTCTTTCCTTCTCCTGTGCTAGCCCATCTCCTTTGAGCAAATTTTGCTAGGTCGCAAGGTTTTGCCGTCTTTGTTGCACAAATACAGATGTTTCCTATCTCACTGTATGCCCAGGAACATTTTTTAAACTACTAAAAATAATTTGTCCTAAAAGAATTCAAAAACAAATGTGCAATAAGCATGGCTTGGTGTCATTTCCACTATAATTTTACAAATTAGAAAAATCTTATTATCATTCAAATTTTTTTCTCTTGGATTAAGATAGACAGACAGATATTTCCTTGACAATCATGTAATTTATTGACATATTTTAATTTACTAGGCCGTATTAAAACTTTTAGGCCTCCTTACGAGAGACACTGATGATTACTTATACAAAATCTATTGCTTTTTCATCTTTACTAAAACAATTGTAGGCCTGGTATGTGCTTAGCGAAAAATGTATAATCACTCAGTCTCCTCTGCAGTTATGATTAAATATACAAAATGTCTGGTCAGAGAGGGAAGCTTGTCTCTCATGTCAAAGTACAACGTCATGAAATAAAGATCTTAACCCTTTTTCCTCTTGACTGTAATGTAGATGTGAATGCCTAGAAATGTGTGAACAATCTTGTGACCATAAGGCTGACAACACAGGAGAGGGAAATCACAAAGTTAAGATGTCTTGGTGCTTGCTGGTAGTGTTGATCTGTCATTCGACCTGCAGCCTGCTTAGTTTTGCAGTTCTTGTTGCATAAAGAAATAGAACGCACTCTCTTTTCCACTCTAGAAAGTACAGTTATTTGATCCATATATAGTTCTAAATAATATACTCTACCTGTAATTCTTGTTTATTGAGTGCTTACTATATGCCACATATTGCAGGAAGCATTTCACAATTTTATAATTTAATCTAATTTTATGAAAGAATAGAAACTGTTAATAATTTAGAAGTAAAAACACTTAAATCACAAAAATATGGCTTAAAATTCCAAGCTCTTAGTTTTGTTTATAAAACCATAACATATGTGTATGAGTGTTCATATACATATACATATATATATGCATATATACACAGTATCATGCCCATAGCAAGTGCTCATTAAATCAGTAACACTTTTATCAGTAACACTTTTTCTACTTCTGTGAGTGTGTTGGAGGTTTGGTTATGAATTAGAATATTGGTATATTTTTATTCATTCAACTTTTTTACTTTGAAATTCAATATTTTAATTCTTGCTATTCCTTTTAAGTTATTTTATATTTCTCTTTTTGACTTAATAACTAAGAGAATCAAAAGTAAACTAGTTTTTAAATAATCAAAACATGGTTTTGATGCAGTTAAATCTTTGTTACTAATTTTCATTTTGACTATATTATGAGAAAATGTTCATTCTTTGGGGACTTATTATTATCAATATTTATAGATGGTCCATTAACATAACAAGAAGCACACTAACTTTTCTTGGCTATAAAGTTCTATATGTACCTATTTAATTCATTTTACCCATTATATTACCCCAACCCTTTGTATCAGGTGTTCCCGACCCTAGACTATAGACGGGTACCAGTGTGCAACATGTTATAAACTGGACTGCACAGCAGGAGGTGAGCAGCAGCTGAGCAAGTGGAGTGTCATCACACCATTGTATTTACAGACATCTCCATCGCTCTCATTACCACCTGAGCTCTATCCCGTCAGATCGCCCAAGGCATTAGTGCTCATAGGAGCACAAATCCTACTGTGAACTGTAACATGCAAGGTGGCACACTCCTATGAGACTCTAACCCCTCATGATCTGAGATGGAGCTGAGGCAGTGATGTTAGCACTGGAAAGTGTGGTTATGATATATTGTATACATATACCACTAAAAAAGAAACTAAAGCAAGGTAAGCTAAACTTCTTCTGGCCAGTCTGTGGAAAAATTTTCTTCTCCAAAATCAGTGTCTGTACCAAAAT